GGAATCCTTAAATCCTTATTTTTGGTGTAGTCAGATGTGCTGACTTTTCACATTATGGGCTGTGGTTTGGGGATTTTAAGAAGCCCTTTCTCAAGCTTAGGTGGCAAAGACATTCTACGCTAGTTTTATAAACCTGACACAGGTTTTCAATGTCTAGAGTTAAATTTCTTCCACAGCCTTACCAAGGGATCTAGGTATGGCTTTCTCCATCTAGTTCACCACTTCAAAACTAGTCCACTCTTCTCACTCTCGTATGTGGTGCCACCTGGATCCTAGATCAAGTTTGTCCATAAGGTGGACCTGTGTCTGAGGTCTATTCTCTGCGTCTGTTTGAGTTACCTAATCACCATAGCTTTGTAGTGTGTTTTATGTCTAGTCTATTAGTTGGCTATAACAAAGTACCACAGACTGAGTGGCTTTGCCAGAGCTTCATTGTCTCGAAGTCTGGAGGCCAGGTGACTACAGCTGGGTGTCAGCACAGGGTTGTGGGGAAGATGGTAGCGTGTCTGTCTCCTAGCTCCCGGTGGTTGCTGGCCAACGCTGGCGATCCTTCACTTGCTGTGCTCCCCATGTGCATGACTGTGTCCACATTTCCTCTTCTCATAAGGACACAAGAGGTACTGGATTAAGGGCCCACCCTAACCTCATCTTAACTAATTATGCCTGCAGCGGCCCACTTCCCAAATACAGTCACACTGCCTGGTACTAGGGGCTAGGCCTTCCACATTTGGATTTGGGAGGGATGGAACTCAACCCATTACGGAGGTCAAACCTGCCCTCCTTGCCCCCTGTTTTGTCCCCTCTTTTTAAGATCGACTTATCTGTTTGTAAACCTTTATTCTTGGTAAAAATTTTAGAACAATTCATAAGGTTCCTTTTAGAAATCAAGCTGAGGGAAGCCTGGGTGGTTTAGTTGGTTGAGCATCTGACTTGATTTTGGCTCAGGTCGTGATTTCAGGGTCACGGGATCAAGTCCCATGCTTGGCAGGGAGTCTGCTTCAGATTCTCTCTCTCTCCCTCTGCCCCTCCCCCACTGGCACACTCACGCTTTCGCTCGCTCCCTCTAAAATAAAAGTTTTTAATAAAAATTAAAAATAAACGGGCGCCTGGGTGGCTCAGTGGGTTAAAGCCTCTGCCTTCGGCTTAGGTCATGGTCTCAGGGTCCTGGGATTGAGCCCAGCATCGGGCTCTCTGCTCAGCGGGGAGCCTGCTTCTCCCCTCTCTGCCTGCCTCTCTGCCTACTTGTGATCTCTGTCTGCCAAATAAATAAATAAATAATCTTTTTTAAGAAAAAAAGAAAATTAAAAATAAAAACCCAGCTGGACCAAGCTGGGATCAGGCCCCAGACAGGGGCAATATGAGCAGCGGGGGGAAGGCCGGACTGGAGCAGAGGCTGGGATCCAGGTGGGAGGTCCCAGGCTAAATTTATTAAAACAAAACAAAACACAAATGGATTTCCTAAATGGGGGTTACATTGGATTTATAGGTTAACTTGAGAAAAAGTTTACCTCTATAGCATATAAAGTCTTTCCATCCAGGAGAATGGGGTGGATTTTCGTTTAGTCAAATAATTCTTTTTTCTCTTTTTTGTCCTTTTTACTGGGTAAGAGTCTTGCATTTTCTCCAGGTGAGTTCCTGTATAGTAGTCCTTGTTGCTCATGTGACCAGTGCCTTATTTTGGCTTCATCATCAGGTTAGGTCTTACTGGTATAGAAAAGAGCTTGTGTGTTTGCAGGCCTGATCTTCTGTTAGCCGCCTTGCACACCACCGGGGCTGACAGTTCCTCACTTGATCCTCCTGCCTTTAGGTGTAATTGATCACATCATTGGCAAATAGAGTTTAATCTCTTTACCCTCAATTTTTGTTTCTTAGCGCATTGGCCAGGCTTTCTAAGACTACATTACACAGTGGCAGAAACAGTGAGCAGACTTGTGGTCCTGCTCTTAAAAGAATTGCATCTAGGGGCGCCTGGGTGGCTCAGTGGGTTAAGCCGCTGCCTTCGGCTCAGGTCATGATCTCAGAGTCCTGGGATCGAGCCCCGCATCGGGCTCTCTGCTCAGCAGGGAGCCTGCTTCCTCCTATAAATAAATAAAATCTTTAAAAAAAAAAAAAAAAGAATTGCATCTAAGTTTCTCCATTAGCTATGTGCATGCTCCATGTTTGCTGTGTGATCCTCAGTGAGTTAAGGAACATAACTTCTGTTTCTTGTTTGCTTAGAAATTTTATCATGAATGAGTGTTGAATTTATTAAATGCTTTTTTCCCCTATATTGTATCTATTTTGTTGTTGTTGCTTTTTTTAAGATTTTATTTATTTATTTGAGACAAAGAGCACAAGCAGGGGGAATGGCGGGGGGAGAGGGAGAAGCAGGCTCCCTGCAGAGCAGGGGAAGCCCGATGCGTGGCTCTATCCCAGGACTCCAGGATCATGACCGGAGCTGAAGGCAGTGGCTTAACCAACTGAGCCACCCAAGCGCCCCACTGTATCTACTTTAATAATCATATTCTTTTTTTTTTTCCTTTTATTTGTGTTGTAGTTTATATTAACATTCCTGGAATCCTACTTGATTACGACATATTTAAATATACTCTTGATGCTATTAGCTAATATTTTATAGAATACATTAGTTTATATTTAAGATGGAGTTCTAGTTACCTTTCCTCTTATTAACGTTATTTGCCTTCAGAATCAAGGGTGCGCTGGCACTGTGAGCTTTCGTGCTGTCTCAAAGCTCACTTTCTCTGGAGTAATTCATACAAGGTAGCAAGGGTCTAGTCTCAAAAAATTTTGAGAACTCACCTATGTTATAGGATTCACCGGAGTCTGAGGCTTTGGGAGCAGGGGGTCTTTGATGAGCATTTCTGTTTATTAAATGCTCTCTAACCTACTTGTGCATTCTGTCTCTTCTCAGGAGAATTTGGTGTATTTTTCCCAAAATGTATCTTGTTTAGGTTCTCAAATGTTTTAGCTCATGGTTGTTGATAATGTTCTTTTACAATGTTTTTAAAACTCTTTTGTGCAAGGTTTCCTTACTTGCATTTTCTGTTATCTTTATTCTTGCCAGAAGTGTATCTTCTCTAGTAATTAAGAGAACCACCTTTTTTCCCTAATACTCTGCACTGTTGATCCATATCTTTTGTTGATTTCCAGCCTTCCTTTTATTATATTCTTTCTGATTTCTTTGGGTTTTCTTTTTTTTAAGATTTTATTTGTTTGATAGAGATACAGTGAGAGGGAGAACACAAGCAGGGGGAGTGGGAGAGGGAGAAGCAGGCTCTCTGCTGAGCCAGAAGCCAAAGCAGGACTCCATCCCAGGACCCCGGGATCATGACCTGAGTGGAAGGCAGACGCTCAGCCACTGAGCCACCCAGGAGAGCCTTCTTTGGGTTTTCTCTCTAATTCCTTTTTGGCTGTTGAAATGCATGCTTAGCTCATCTGTTTTAGCTTCCCCCCTAAAAATAAAAAATGTCATTTGGGGATGCCTGGCGGGCTCAGTAGAACGTGTGACTCCTGATCTCGGGGTCATGCCAGGGGGAAGAGTTCACTTAAAAAATAAAAATAAGGGCGCCTGGGTGGCTCAGTGGGTTAAGCCTCTGCCTTCGGCTCAGGTCATGATCTCAGGGTCCTGGGATCGAGGCCCGCATCGGGCTCTCTGCTCAGCGGGGAGCCTGCTTTCTCCTCTCTCTCTCTATGCCTGCCTCTCTGCCTACTTGTGATCTCTTTCTCTGTTTCAAATAAATAAATAAAATCTTAAAAATAAATAAATAAATAATAATAAAAATAAATAACAGAAATGCTATTTAAAGTTAAAAATTACCCGCAGATGCTAATTTAGATGTCGTCCTCAAATTTTAACAAAAATATCATCTAAGAAGCACATTTTTCACATCTTAGCATCTCTGAAATCTAGATGCACCTCACAGTCAATGCCTGACATGTGCCAGGTAACAGGTCTTTCTTTCTTAGTGGTGTAGAAAATTAAGACACACCTTACGTGCGTCTTTAGTACCATACAGTATTGCATAGTGTTTTCATTAGCTTTTACCTCTGAGTATTTCATAATCCTTCCTCTGGTTTATATTTTTAGCTCAGTAGCTTTAGTAATACGTCATTTAGGTTTGTTAACAACATACGAGTTGTTTTTAGTCATTCTTTCATTGTTGATGTCTAATTGTATCACGTTACTCTCCAAGAATACGTTTTCTTGGGAATTTATTAGGACTTCCTTCTTGTCTTCAGCCTTTCTGTACCCTTTTCTTTTAAGAGTCTCTTGTAGTCACACAGGAACATGGTGCTTTTTGCCCTGCCTGGTCCCTCAGTACCTGCATTGGCTTAAACCCTGGATTCAGAAGTCACATAGGCTCAGGTGTGAACGTGCTGCCCTATGCATGTGCGCCAGTCTCCCCACCCGGCGTTTTCTCTGACCCTCCCTTTGCCTAGAGAAGGGGGGCTAGCGACCCCTGTCAGGGCTGGAGAACTCACATGTGTGCTGGGCATGTGGGAACAGCTCAGTGACGCTGTCAGATCCCACTCTGAAGTTCCTTTTTAAAAAGGAACGCAGAGGGGCATCTGGGTGGCTCAGTGGGTTAAGCCTCTGCCTTTGGCTCAGGTCATGCTCTCTGGGTCCTGGGATCGAGCCCCGCATCGGGCTGTCTGCTCAGCGGGGAGTCTGCTTCCCCCCACAACCACCTGCCTCCCTGCCTACTTGTGATCTCTCCCTCTCTGTGTCAAATAAATAAAATCTTTAAAAAAAAAAAAAAAGAACATGGACCTTTCATAGAGGAGAGCTCACTACTTCCTTCTGCTCCTTTCTTTCTGTTGATAAAACTGGGCACTTCAACCCAGTTTGTCTTCCAGGGCTGTGGGGAAGAGCAGCAACTAATGAAATGCTCCTAAAAGCGCTGTGAAAGTACAGGGTGAAATCACACCTGCTCATAATCCTGAGCAGGTAAGGCAGTGAGGGAGTGGCAAAGTGTGACCCCTTTTCCTTGCCTTGGCAGAGTGCAGAGAGCTGTTTACAGCAGAAGGATGAAGCCATCACATCTTTCGAAGAAAAAAACAACCAAGTTATGTCCAGCATGAAACAGATGGAAGAAAGGTAATCAGTCCCTCTGACAGATACTCCCTAGAAGGTAGGGATATTCTCTGGACCTGGAACCTCTCTTAGAAGTACAGACAGCTGGGGGTGATGGTCCTTTGGGATCCCCTTTCTTGCTGAAAGGGGCTGATTCCCAGCGCTAAGTGTGTATTCCCGTAATCAACTTTTGGGTTCCTGTATCATATCGTAATCGGGATCATACCGATACAGTGAGGTCCTTATCACGGTCACATTTCCACATCAGTCAGTAGTGGATCCCAAGAGTCTGAAAACAGACTCACATGAATATGGCAACTGATTTTCTTACAAAGGTGCAAAGGCAGTTCAGCAGAGCAAGGAAAGTCTTTTTAATAAATGATGTTGGAACAGTCAGACATTCATAAGCAAAAAGTGAATCTCACTCTATACCTCATGCCTTATACAAAAATTAACTGGAAATGCATCACAGGTCTAAATGGAAAACTTAAAATTTCGAACTTTTAGAAGAAAATGTCAGAGAAAATGTTTGTGGCCTTGGGTTAGTAGAAGAGATCTTAAACGTGACGTGAAAGCCTGGGGTCCATGGGAGAAAAATTTGATAAATAGGACTTTATCAAAATATGAAACCTTTGTTCTGTGAAAGACACGGTTAAGAGAATAAGAAGACCTGTTACAGTTTGGGAGAAAACTTTTGCAGATAACTGACAAAGTACTTGTATCCAGAATGTATAAAGAGCTCTCAGAACTCAACAAACAGTCCAGTTTAAAAATGGACAAAAGGCGGGCCGCCTGGGTGGCTCAGTGGGTTAAGCCTCTGCCTTCGGCTCAGGTCATGGTCCCAGGGTCCTGGGATTGAGCCCCGCATCGGGCTCCCTGCTCAGCGGGGAGCCTGCTTCCTCCTCTCTCTCTCTGCTGCCTGCCTCCCTTGCCTACTTGTGATCTCTGTCTGTCAAATAAATAAAATCTTTAAAAAAAAAATGGCCAAAAGGCTTGAACAGACACCTTCCCAAAGAGGACATACGGATGGCAAACCAGCACACAAAAACATTCAGTATCCCCAGCCAGCAGGGACATGCGTGTTACAGTCACGGTGGGGGCTGCTGCGCTCCTGTTAGAACAGCTAAGTATCTCTTCAGCGACACCACTGAGTGCTGACAGGACTCCAGAGTGACCAGAACGCCCCTGCAGTACCAACGGGACTACCAGATGGTACAGCCACCCCGGAGAACAGTCTTTTAAAGCTAGACATCCCCTTACCAGAGGACCCCACAGCCCCTCTCCTGGGTGTGCGCCTGAGAAGAGTGAAGGCTGATGTTCACACAGACCAGAGGTTTAGATCAGGTCTGTTCATTGACTTACCAAAACTAGACGGGAATTGGATGTCTTTCATCACTGAAGGAAGAACAACCTGGCACCCTGTACCATGAAGTAGTACTCAGTCATCCGAAGGAATGAGCCACAGACACAAACCTGGAGTGACCTCAGAGACGGTGCTGAGCGAAAGAAGCCAGGCTCAAGAGGTTGTATGAGGCATAATTCCATTTCTAGGATGTCCTTGAACAGACAAAGCCATGGTATCATCACCACAGTAGTTGCCAGGGTTTAGGGGTGACTCCAGAGGGCAGCACTAGGGAGCTTTCCTGCTAACGATGCTGTTGTCCCCAGATCGCTCCTGACCGCTGCGGTGGTCACACGAGTCTCTCCGTGCGCTAAACCTCAGAACAGTTTTACTGTGTGTGTTTTCAACCCCAGCCTCAAGAACGTGAACAGATGCTGCCCTCAGTCTCGAGGGTAGCCCCGTTCTCACACAGACCTGGTTCTTGGGGTGCAGGTTACAGCTCTCGGAGAGGGCGCGGCGCGGGGCAGAGGAGCGGAGCCACAAGCTGCAGCAGGAGCTGGGCGGCCGGACTTCCGCGCTGCAGCAGCAGCTCTCCCAGCTGCACGAGCAGTGGTAGGCGGGGCTGGGCCTGGCAGGGTGGGGGGCAGCTCCCTATTGGGCACAGGCCCCGTCCCTCCTGAGCTTACCCCTACAGAGGCTGGAATCAGGGTGTGTGTCAGGCCCCATGAAGAGAAATGCCAGTGTCCCCCTTTTTTAAGTGAGAGTGCTGGTTCAGGGGGTTCGGGAACGTCCCAGGGCCACTCAGCTGGTGAGAGGAGTGCGGGAGCTTTCTCCTGCCCACCCCCCGCACCAGCCCTCCAGTGGGAGCTGCCTCTGGGTTGGAAAAAGCGGAAGACATTTTGCAGTCTCTCCCTTCAGGTCTCCACCTTGGTAGAGGATCCCCCTGCTGTGGTCCTAAGTGTTTCGAGACCCTTCTTTGTCTGCTCATGTGTTGTCGAGTGCATGTCCACCCTGCTCCCCTGATGGGGTCCTGGTCTTCCCTCTGGAGGGGCAGGTGGCCCTGCCGGAGAGGGAGCTGACGGGTTTAGGTGTGTGTGTGTGTGGCACTTCTGATTCCTGTCAATGCCCCATTTCCCGGGCAGAGAACTGGGTTGGACATTGTGCATTTTCCATGCACCTCTCCCACTAAGACTAACTCGAGGTCATTTTGGGAAAACAGCTCGAGTCTAGAGAAAGAGTTGAAATCAGAAAAAGAGCAGAGACAGGCTCTTCAGCGAGAATTACAGCAGGAGAAAGACACTTCTTCTCTACTCCGAGCAGAACTACAGCAAGTGGAAGGATTAAAAAAGGTAAGGCAGCTGTCGGGGGAGGGAAAGAGCTGCTGGCGTCTCCAGGAGCCCCGGGCCACACGGAGGCCCCTCAGCCCAGCCAAAGCCACCCTGTGGAGCCTCTGCTCGAGGCAGATGGTGTGTGCACACCAGCCACTCGGGGAGCAGCGCAGTGAGGAGAATAAAACGGGGAGACGCCCCGCAGCGGCGGCTGTGGCCCGGGAACCGTGCCAGGGAGGCCGAGTCGAGGGACGAGCAAGGGCCAGCTGTGCGGAGAGGCGAGCAAGGGACGGCTCAGGCAGACTGCAAGAAGCATGAGGGTCTGTCACGGTGAAGGAGCAAAGAGCAGGGCTGTGAGGCCGAGTCATGACGCACACAGGAGGGAGGCATTGGGAGCTGCCGGCGGGCAGACTGATCGCGGACCCCCAAAGACATGCAAAGGGATTTGGATCTTCTCCAGAGCTCAGTAGGTAGCTAGCGGAGCAGGGGTCCACCAGCTCCTGGGAGGAGGGGGGCTCACAAGAGGGGAGCAGCAAGCACGAGCACTTTCTGAGTGCCAGTCCACACCTTCCCTCAGAGTGACTTGGCCACTCTGCCCAGGGTCGGGTATCCTGGTTCCCCAGAGCCATCTGGTCCTGGTCCTGGGCCACCCCTGGGAAGCCAAGTGAACCAAAAGCCTCCCTCTCCCCTAGACGAGACCCGAGTCTCGTCTCTCCCTGGAATCACCTCCGTCCTCTGGGGAAGGCGAGGCCTGGAACCGGTGGCAAAGCTTCAGAGAGTGCGAGGGGGTTGGGGACCCAGAGCAGCATCTTGGTCTGCTCGCAGAACTAGGCCTCCCAGGGAACCCAGGCAGGCTGCAAGGTCTCCCCTGAAGGCAGGAGGTGCCCACAGTGCTGGTGGGAGCCGGCTATGGCCTGGGCTGCCCCGGGGTGTGTCTGGGCTCCGTAGCTTCTCCCGGTGGGACCGGCACGCCATCCACACACCTGCGGAGGCTCCTTGGAGATTACGTTGTGTTGAGCATGGTGGTGGGTACTGCTGCGTGGTCTGAATGGGTGCACAAAGAGCCTTTGATCCTGTGGGAACATGTCTAATAGCCCCTCCCGGGGGAGCCCAGTGGGCCAGGGGTGGAGACCACTGGTTAGGGGAGACGTTCCTCAAGGGCTCTCAGTCTCTGAGAGGGGAGGAAAAATGGAGGGCAGAAGAGGACTTCTAGAAAGTTCTGCATCTTGCCTCCTTCATTCCACTTCAAAATTCCACTTTGGTCAACGATTTGAATTGTACCACCCCCCGCCTCCGCACTTAAGTACACAAACGAGAAACAACACATGTGACGTCATTAGGGTGCCCTTGAGCTCCTGTGTCTCCAGGCTCTGGGGCAGAAGGCTTAGGGGGCAGTTGGGAGGGATGCACCCACCACTCAGGCCTAAGCCCTTTGCTACCTGTCATCAGCCCTGAACCCCAAATCACTGTCCTGGGTCTTTGTCAGGGCCCTCACCAGCTTGTGTCCTCAAGGGTCACTGGCCCCAGATTACAGTGTTTTTCAGCATGTGAGCTTCACTTCCCACACACGCTCATGGTCTCAGCGCGTGAGCTCCCACATCCTGGCCTTCATCAGGCTCGTTCGTTCATTCTCAAGAAGTTTCAACCAGCCCTTTCCAAAACATTTATTCAAATGAGCCTTCACTGTGCAGGTGTCCCCCACTTCCGCATAAGGCTCCTCTGTGCGTGTTCTGAAGCTGTTCTCTGCTTACACAGCCTTTTAATGGCAACTCAGATGGGCAGGGGTTTCGTCGTTCTGTGCAGGTGACTGCTTTGCACGCAGCTGTTCTCCTGTCCCACGTCACTGTCCCTTCTGCAGGTGCCCATTCTGGAGAAACAGGCTAGTGAGCAGTAATCCATGAAATAACCCCAGCTCAAATGAGATTAACACAACAAAAACTGCTTTTTGCTCTTGAAAAACATTCTGACCTGCTTGTCGCTGCAATTACATGAGTGTGTCAGGCCTCTGGTTGGTTGATTTTAGGAGCTGCGGGAGCTCCAGGACGAGAAGGCGGAGTTGCAGAAGGTTTGTGATGAGCAGGAACAAGCCCTCCAGGAAATGGGCCTGCACCTCAGCCAGTAAGCCCACCCCCTCCCCTGCCACCTGCATCATGACCACTGGACCTGGCCCCTGTCCAGAATCACATCAGCCTGCCCACCAGGCCCCAAACCAAGTTCTGCTGTCCGGGGTGGTGGGGGGTTGTGGTCAGGCAGGAGGCCGGCCACGTGTTCAAGGGCCACCCCCCGGGAAGTGAGGCCTTGCAGACACAGTGCCAGTTGAACTAATGAATTAGGAAGTCCCTTCTAGTGAGCCCTCCTGTTCACTAGATCAGCCTCTAGGTCCTAGGCGAGTCGGGGGGACGGCAGCGGGGTGCTCGCTGGGCCCACAGTCAGACAGCGGGGCTTCCACCTGCTGTAGTGGAAGCAGTCACCATCTCCCCTTCTGGATATTTGTGCCCACCAGCATCTGTCTGTCTGTCCTGCTGGGTGCCGCTGAAGGAGCACAGACCTTGGTCCTTGTCTCTACTTTGACCTGACAGCCCTCCTCCCCGGGGTTCCCGTCCTGCCAGGTTGCTCTGGCCGGTCCGATAGGTCACACTGCAGATTGTAGAATTGGCTCATTTGTTTGATGTTTGTGTTTTCAAAGCCACTGGGGAGTTTTATTTTCCTTAGGAGTCAGGACTCCTGGTTGCAGAGGGACAGAAATCCAACTCAGACTGTCTCAAGGCAAAAAAAAAAAAGCCATCGGGACTCAGTCTCTCCCTCCTCCTCTGCCGTCTTGTCTGCTGCTCCCTCACTGGTGGCTGGCCCCTAGCAGAGTCTGTTGTGGCTTCTGCCCCAAACACAGTGACTGGAGAGATGGGGGTCTCGTGGGGCCTGTGACCAGAAGAGGTCCAGACACGGGGACCAACAGAGAAGTGGCTAGAAACACAATGCAGCAGCATGCATTATCAGTCAGACTGGGCTGGGCTTGTGTTGAGGACTGTGACATGGGCAGGGATCCCCAAGGAGCTTTCTTGGTGCTTCCTCTCTGCCTCCTGCTCTCTTCTCTCCATCTTGCAAGCCAACACCAGGTGACAGAAGGACAGGGCTCTCCTCAGATCCCTCCACCAGCTAGACGCAGCTGCCCAGTTTCTCTCTCTGGGCAGCATCTGGATCCTTCCCAGGTTGTGTTTTCCAGGGACCTGCCTGCACATTCAGGCTGCCGTCTCGACCTGGGGTCCTCCAGTGTCTCCCCCCGGACAGCTTCTAGTCCTGTCGGGCTGCAGGCCTCTCTCTGAGCTGCTCGGGGCAGACCAAAGGTCCCGATGCTCAGTTTCCCAGTCCTCGCCTGGAAGTCTGTGTGTCTCAGAGCCCTGCCACTTTGACCCTTCGGTTGATCCAGTGACAGTTTAGGCTGACGTCACCCAGACTGCAAATACATCAAGTTTTCATTTTCTCTGGTTTAATTCCGCCAGTGTAGACCATGCTTAGGCCTGTGTTCTAGGTGGACAAGTAAGGAATTGTTCTTCCCCTAACAAGAATGGAGCAAGAACAAGGGAGCCTGTCGTCGGAGCAGGACTGTTCTAGAAGGAGCAGGCAGCCCAAAAGGGGCTGGGGGAGCCCTGCAGATTCGGGTGCCTGCCGTAGGAGAGTCCCTGCAGCCCCTTTTAGGCACATGTCCCACGCAGGAATGGTGGCCCAAAGAATCCAGGAACCTGATTTTTAGGAAATTATTCCAAAAATTTAAAGATTTTATTTACCTGTTTGACAGCAGGTAGGGAACACAAGCAGGGGGATCGGCAGAGGGAGAGGGAGAAGCAGACTCTCCACTGAGCAGGGAGCCTGACACGGGGCTCCATCCCAGGACCTCAGGATCACAACCTAAGCCAAAGGCAGATGCCTAACAAAGCCACCCAGGCATCCCTTCCAATTTTTAAATGGTTGTAACTACTTCAAAGTCTTTTTAAACCTTGCAGGCTCAACAGTCTGTCTTGGGACCCCGTTTGGTCCACAGGCTCTGCCTCAGAGCGCGGCAGACATGAGCCAATATGATGAGTTGACTCTGGGATGGTAAAAGGCAGAAAGCATGTTCTGGAACAGCTCCTGTGCAGGGCTGCTCTGTCCTGCTCCCAGTCACCCTCCCCAAGCCAGCGAGTCAGGCAGTGGCAGTGGGCTTGCTGAGTTCGAGAGCCTCTCACAGCCATAAATCATCTTTATCTTTTTTTTTTTTTTTAAGGTCAAAGCTCAAGATGGAAGACATCAAAGAAGTGAACAAGGCGCTGAAGGTACTGGATTATTAACCCTGTCGGCCTCAGAACCCCTGCCCCTGGCTTAGAGAGCTCACGCTACTGCCCTGGGTGCCCGGGTTCTCCGGAGTCAGGGGAGGGTGTGCCCCAGAGGCATCCAAAAATGCTGCTCAGAGCCATGGGACCTGGGGACAGGTGACACTGACGGCGGCGAGGCCCACCCGGGAGCCTTGGTGCTGATTCCAGCCTCTCGGCCCTAGTTGGGACAGTAGGCCTAGGTCACAGGTGCCCAAGTGAAGGGAGCGAAAAGTGGCCAGAGAAACCCAGGGATTTTTAAGCAGGGAGCATAAGACCTCTCCCTGCAGGTGAGGGGCCCGTTCGCGAGGATGCCCGCCACCCAGGGAGAGCGGGAACGTGTGGACCAGGTCACCCGGTGCGGGCGCCAGACTGGCCCGCTGGGGGTGCAGATGGGAGTGGGGGGGCAGTTCAGAGCGGAGGGACAGCCCACCTGCAACAGGCAAGTCCGCTCCGCTGGATCAGAGACCCTAGCGCCCCCCGGTCGGGGACGGTGGACTGTCCTAGCCACTTGCAGCAGCTGGACGGAAACTTGGCTGCACTCGCTCCCCCTGCCTTGTACCTGGAAAACTCCTTGAACAGAACTGCTGTGAGCAGCAGGTTTTCCATCCCTTCCCTGCCCAGATGTGTCAGACGGCGACAGCCAGCGGCACCACAGGGATGAGCTGTCGGGCTTTGCGCTGCAGCTCCTAAGGTCGCTCTGTCACCAGGAAGGCGATGGCCGCCAGATGCCAAGGAGCCAGAAAAGCTTATCAGGCCTTTGGCCCCTTTGAGCACCCCGTCTCTCCGGCGGAGTAAATGGCCCATCCTCTGTCCTTTAGAAAGCTCTCCAGAGCCTCAGGTCCCACTTCCCCACATTGTGTTGAGGGGTGGGGGCTTAGCATATGGACCAGGGCCTCCCCCCTCCCCCATCCGCGATCTGCAGCACCAGAGCTCCAGCCCCTCCAAAGACCCTGATGGTGGGCACTCAGAACATGGCTACGGGGCCATCAAGAGCTGAGCTGGAAAATGGAATTCTGTTGTGGTCTTTCCCCCTGCAGGGCCATACCTGGCTGAAGGACGATGAAGCCACGCACTGTAAGCAGTGTGAAAAGGAGTTCTCCATCTCCCGGAGGAAGGTACATGGGGCGGCCCTGCACCAGCTCCCACACGGCCTCCCCTTCCACCCTTTCCCGTGGGACTGGGGCCACTGCATGACCGTGGCACTCGCTGGTTTGCTGGCCCACACAGATGGCTTCCCAGCTCGTCCGTCCTTTCAAGGATGGGCAGATTTCTTTGGGAGTTGGGGCTGCTCACGTACAGAACATGAAGGTTCATTGTCAGGAACAGGACCAAAACCTGGTTAAATGAGGCAAAAACAATCCAGAGAGAACCTGTGGTTGATGGGTCTTGGGACAGGCATCCATGTGGCACCTAGAGCTCCCTGGCAACCTGGGCAGGGCCCGTGCCCCCAGGGCCTCGGCCTCTGCCTTCCAGTTCCAGAGCCGGAGGTCCTGAACCCGGCCTTTGGGGCATTGATGGACCAGCTGGGCAAGACAGGAGCAGGACACAGACACCTAGCAAAATTGGAAACCTGTACAGCCCACAAAGTACCCTACCCCGCACCGTGTGGCTGTGCATTCTCCCCTGTCCGCATCTCATCAGGCCTCTCTGGAAAAGAAGGAAAATTCCCCTATCCTGGCCTGTGCCTCACAGTAGGTCCAGAGGTGGAAACCGCCTCCTGAGGCGGCCTTTGAGATCAGGCGCGTGCCCAAGGCCTGCTGGAGGTTAGGGCCTCACAGTCCCCACACCTGAATGGCCTGGCCAGGGTCCTGCCTGTTGGCTACTGGCCGGTTGGCAGAAGCTACGTGGACGCTTGCCTCCACCTTGTCTCCTCCATGCCCAAGGCTTCTGCAGCGCCTGCACAAAACCAGCCTCGCCCAGCAGGAGGCACTGGCCACGGATACTTGAGTTTCCAGCAGGCGCAGGGATGACAGGGAGTGAAGCAGGGCTCTTCATGCAGCAGCTTGGGTAAGACACATTTTAGGGCCTTAACCGCACACCCTCCACCCACACTCTACATGGAGGAGCCAAAGTCTACAAGGACCCCTTCCCAATGGACCCCAGCTTCTTGGGAAGGATTCTAAGGGCGTTAGGCAAACAGAGGCACCTGGCCCACCCTGACTGCCCGTCTTGTGTCCTCCAGCACCACTGCCGCCACTGTGGTCACATCTTCTGCAACACGTGCTCCAGCAACGAGCTGGCCCTGCCTTCCTACCCCAGGCCGGTGCGCGTCTGCGACAGCTGCCACACCCTGCTCCTGCAGCGCTGCTCCTCCACCGGCTCCTGAGCGTTGGAGGGGTCCCCGGGAGCTGACGGGGACTGACAGGGGCTGGGCGAGTCTGCTGCCAGAGGGAATCACAGGAAGGACTCCACTCCTCGCAGGGTCTGCCAGGGAGGCACGCACCTTTCCAGAGCGTCTGGATCGAAACTCTTCCTTCTCCCTTGGCCGCATCACCAGCTTTGGCTCCCCCGTAACTTCAGGATTTTGCTACTGTCATTTTTCACTTTTCACACAGTTGAGCAGTTTTCCAGCAGTTGCACTAGTGTAGTGAGCACCCCGTGCCCCTCCTCCCCTGCCCACACTGTGCCTTCCCTGCTTCCAAGTCTGGCCATGTCACACCCTTGTGAGTGCATCTCAAGATCTGCAATAAAATCCTTTATTTTTCACTCTGGTGCAGAAAATGTCAGCCTCTGCAGGAGGCCTCAGACCCACCCCGTGTCCCCCGTGTCAGGACAGGCCATTACCTCCACCAGTAGGCACAGAGGAAGTGAGCTTACCCCCACTCGGCTCAGAAGGTGTTCCTTTAGCCACAGGAAGCTGACCCAGAGACGACAGAGCTTCGTCTAGCGCACTCCAGGTGGCGTCACCCGTGGGAAGCACCTGCCAGGCAGCCATTTTTCCAAGCAGTGCTGGGACAGGCACTGGTCAGCTGTGGAAACAGACTCCACGCATGCTCACCCCCACCTGACGGGTCCAGGTCTTGAATGTTCAGGTGAAGGAACCAAAACTAGTGCCATAGTGCTGTCCAGGCTAGTCTGTCCATCTGCAGAGCCTTGGTGAACTCCCCTTGCTCACTGCCCAGTGCCTCACCCGTTCATGGGCTTCGACCCACTGCCTGACTCAGGAAGGTTAGGTCCCAGGATCTGCAGGCCCAGCTCCAAAGCCATCTTCCTTCTGGGCTGGTTTTCCCATCGAAGCAGGAAGAACATGGCATTAAGAGCAGCTGCCAGGGGTGCCTGGGTGGGTCAGTGGGTTCAAGCCTCTGCCTGCAGCTCAGGTCATGATCTCAGGGTCCTGGGATCGAGCGCTGTATCAGGCTCTCTGCTCAGCGGGGAGCCCGCTTCCTCCTCTCTGCCTGCCTCACTGCATACTTGTGATCTCTGTCAAATAAAATTTTTAAAAAAACAGCTGCCAGAGGCCCCCTCTCCCCTTCCGTCACTTCCTCTAAGCAGCTTTTTAAATCTCATCCAGGACCCAGCTTTTCCAAAAATGCTTAACGTGCTGCTGCACTGCCCCCAGCTGGTCTAGCAGTAGAAGTCAGTACCTTGTTTTCACTGCACCCAATTTGGATTCCAGCTTGCTGGGGAGCCTTAGGCACGTCACTTCACCTCTGGGCCTTAGCGCTCATCTGCACACAGAAAAGCAAGCAGGAGACACCTGACTCCTAGACTGTTCAACTCAGTGGGATGTTCCCACCACAGCGCTCAGTGCTCTTCCCTGTATCATAACCAGTTTTCTTCTCCCCTCCCTTCCCCACCCACAAGCAACCGATGGCCAACAGGTATTACCCTCTGCCACGAGGAACCAAGTATTTATTTAGCTGCTTGAGACAGAACTCTTCTCCTCACACATCAGACATGCCCCTGGACTTTGGAACCCTCAGGCTGTGGTCTGACAACCTTCCTGAGTACGGAGGAACCACAGATGGCCTGGGGCAGTGCTGCTCGTGGACACGCACAGGGCCATTACCCAGGGACGGAGATCACCTGAGAACGCGAACTCCCAGCAGCATCTGGAGGTCCTGGTCCCGGCTAGCAAGCCCCCGGGGGGGTTCTGAGGCAGGTCCGTCCACAGAGTACGAGGTTCCAATGCACCAGAATGGCCCAAAGACTCACTCTGCAGAAGCCGCATGGTTCTGCTCTCACTCAGCCTTCCTCCCCACGCCTCTAGTTAAGTCCCTCCTCCTCTTCCATCTACAGGCCTTTTCTCAACACAGATACTAAAGAAACCGAAGGACAGGGAAGGAACCCTCCTGGGGCCTTCTCAAGTGCAACATGTGTCAATTCCACAGACCGTGAGCGATCCCACCAAAATCCCAGGGGCAGTTCTAGGTCGAGAACACAGCTGAAGACCAAATGCTCAGATGTGCCTCCCCCCAAAACGGTTGCTCTAAACCAGACCAGCTAGAGGACACATGACAAGTCTAACCCTCCCGTACCCCAGCCCCACTGCAGACCTTTCCCCTCCACCACACAGGAGAGCAGTGCCCCCATGCCCCCGTGCCGAGGCCATGGAGCAGGGCAGGGTCTGCAGGGCCCCTGTGGCACATGCTTGTGCAACGCTGCCTTGTGCAACGCTGCCATGTACAGACACGTAGAAATCTCACCCGAGATCAAAGGGGAGAATCTTGAGCACTGTCCGCGAAAAATGGATTCAGATCCTCAATTTGGCTTATTAAGCTTCAGTCTTTAGTGGAAGATCTACTGAAGGGTCTTTGGAGATGACACCTTTAAAAGGTGCTTAATGCCAGCTACTCAGAGGTCTACCAAAACAAATGGATTTCAATTACTCAATTAAACTAGTCCTTGCTCAGAAATGCAAGGTAGTCTACCTCAGACACCATAAGGAATGAATTCTGCCCAAAGTGGACCTGATCTTTAGCTACCAAAAATAGGACCAAAAGACTCCATTTGAAAGCCATTTATAAGCTAGCTCCTAGAACCCTCCCCCATGCCCCACGTAAGCAAAACTTCAGAGGCGCCACTGGAGTGGGAAGGTCACCTACCTAGTGAGTTCCCCCCCACCTTGCCTCTGGCACGGCCTTCTCAGCCATGCCCGCCACGGGCCTCTGGGGACATGCAGATCATGCAGAAGAATAGTGCCACCTCTCCCTGGGTTTTGTGCAAGCGCTTAGCAAGTCAAAAGGACTTTGGGTTAGGTCCTGTGCAGCCAGGCCAAACACGCAGCCCTTCCACAAGGGCCCCTAAAAGCTATGTTTACCTTCAGTCGCACCGGAGGGAAGAGGAGTCGGCCGACATCTACACAACAGCCTCGGCTGCCGAGCCTCTCTGCCACAGCCAGAGACGTGGGCCACTGTCACCTACGCCCCAGGCAGGAAGAGAGCACCAAGAAACAGTCCACATGACACTGAAGCACAGACAAGACAAAGTGCAGTTTTTAAAAGGAAGATTTATTTGACAAGTTTCACTTAGCGCAATACACCTAAAAGGAAATCACGATACAAGGAAAGGTTTAAATCAAGGCCTCAGAATTTCATACAAACACCAAGACCAAAATCCTAACGTATGGTGTTGCGTCTCAAAGTCCCCCATTAACTTAAAAAAAAAAAAAAAAAAAAAAAAAAAAGGCTTCAACTTACGTGCCTTAGAGGTTATTAAATGAAACTAGAATTAACAAACATGCCAAATGTGTTCACTTTTAATTGTAGACACAGCTCCTATATTGAGTTTTACAAAAAAAGCATGTCTTTCAACATGCATCCCAACAGTGTTCAATGTAATGTAGAAGAGCAACATTTAACATAATTCAACTGCTTTAACCTAAATACACTTGCTGCTTAAGTACATCCTACAATAGAACTAGAGAAAAGCTGAAAATTGTTTAACAGTTATAGTTTACTCAGTTGTTACATCCTAGATGAATGTCTGTGTTCAAAAATACTGAACCTCAAGTCTTTTAAAACAATCCTGATTTCCACTTAGAATAAGCATCAATCACAAGCTTGTATTGCAAAACTGTTAAACTTTGTTTCTTTTAAAAAAACGGTGACCAAGAGTCAGTGATCAGGATCAGTTACATTCCCCATCCACCACTCATACTGGACATGCTAGACATCCCTCCCATTCCGTTCACGCCCACAGATGCTCGGCTTCCGCTACTGTAGTAGCTGCTGTTCACTGCTCCTTGGCTGCCTGCAGAGAGAGCGATGCAACAAGTCAGCAGAATCATCAGACCATCAGCCAAATAAAATATAGCATCCCAAGAAAAAGTTTAAAAAGTATACGAGTACAAATGGCTGCTGTCCAAGTGGCGAGAAGCATGTTTGGGAAAGGGGACTCCCGACTCCAAACAAGTCTCAATTAACCCCTTTTCTCTGCAGTACCAACTTGCCAGACTCTTGTGCTACCATTTAATTGGATGCTTCAGGATCAACATAGAAAATTAAGTTTAAAGGAAAACTAGTGTTTTTCAAAAATTGCAAAATTACTTCATGTTGTTTTTAAAGCTAAGCAAGGCATTTTAAAAAAAATTTTACCATAAACATTCACAATGTGTCCATCGAATGGCATATATATGAATAGGGAGGACAGGGGCAGTCTCTTGCTTTTCCTACTGATGGTGGGCAGGGAGTGAGACGACAAAAGCTGGGACTAAAGGCAACTCACTGTGCCCAAAATGGCAGCCTCCATGGAGTTAAGTCAGAGCCATTGACTGCTATAGAAATAGTGTTATTACAACATATCAGTATTTGCTATTGGGAATTTAAATTATATTTTTTGAGAAAATATTTACCTATGCAATGTTTGATTGAAAATCACTGGAGTTTTCCTGTAAAACTTGGTCTGCAAAAGGATTTTGTAGGGTAAGACTATAATACCAAAATCACCATTCTTTAGACCAATTGAAAAAAAATAAAAATAAAAGCAATCCTAGGATAAAACTGACTAGTAAATACGGTCCTAAACCCAACCACCATTCTACTATTTAAAAGTCTCCCTCCATCTAAAATGGATTTAATGCTAATCAAAAGACAGAAAAAAAAAAAAATCAACAGTTTAATTTTTTAATAAATGGAGGCAGATGTTTGCTGGCTCGACATTATTCCAAGTTGCAATGACTAGTTTTAATACATAGAACACTTCCCCCTCCCAATGATTGGTGCTGAAAATTAAGCTATCAAGAACAAGTTACATTTGGATCAAAAGCAAACATGAACCCAGTTTTGCCAAAAAGGTGCCTGCATATTCCCCAAACTAAAGAAACCTGCCTAAAACTTATTTCAAGTACATAAAAAAACACACTTACCATATCCACTCATGCTGCTCTGGCCACCGTAGCCGCCTCCATAACCACCACTCAGCTGCTGACTGGCTGGGCCGCCGTAACTGGACTGGTTTGCTGTTAAGTTAAGAGAACATTAGGACCTTGTTCCATATGTAATGTGGTACCTGGTGGTACCGGGCTTGTTAATTCTAAATCTATGATTTTTCCAGTCTTGACCTCCTATCACTACAACCCTCTGCCTCCTTCTGCCTGTTGCCTATGACCAAACTACCTTTCTACCCATATGAACTAAACAAACATTTATAAACCAAAAGGCAAACAGTATGCACATCAGGACTAAATCCACGATTCTCTAAGTAGAGGCATTTTGAGAACACCTTAGGATACTGCTTAAATGGATTTAGTGGGGCTTTCCCCCCATAATTT